CTGGGTACGTCTAGACTACAGGGTTTTGTCGACGGAAGTTTTGCATCTAGACTACAGGCTTTTGTTGACAGAGAGCGTGTAGACTATATCCAGTTCTGTCAACAAAGCAAGCCTCTTTCTAGACATGACAGTGAAGACGCAAAGGACAGTGTAGATGCAATTACGCCTTCTGTTGACAGAACTCTGTCGACAAAAGGCGTTATACCTCGTAGAATGAGATTTACTGCTGTCGACAAAACTGCCGAGTCGACAGAACTTAGCGGTAGTGTAGATGCAGGTATAGTTTTGTCGACAAAAGTCCACTTTTGTCGACAAAACTCAGTAGTCTAGACACACCCTCTGACACAAGGTTCAGGGAGTCAGTGCACAGGTTGAAGGAATGTTTTAGTTCCCCTTTTGCCCCAGTGTATGCATGTATCTGACCCTGGCCTTAGGGGGTCCAACACTGGCAGTTAGGAGCCCTCCATCATGCAAGTTTTGATCTTAAAGTTAAATTAAAATGTCTTGACTGTATTTAATTCATTACATTAAGAATGATGGAGCATGGATACATTCCTTTATCCCTTACTGTTTGAACCTCCTCTAATATCAAAAAGCAGAGGCAAGATACATGTGATCATTCCATAATAAAAAAGGTAAAACATTACTTAGATTTCTCTGTATTTAACAATTTGGGATGCTCTGGTATTTACAGAAATGTACAATACATTTCTTGGAACAAATAGCTTGTGGAAATTGGGCATTCGATCTCAGTAGTGTCATACCTATTACAAAATGGAAGTCTTGCTGCGTTTCATTACCTTGGATGTTACACTGTGCTCATCTCTGAAATACAGTATGATATGTTTCAGTGAATGTGTTTTATATCATTTTAGTTGTTCATAATGAAGCACGATATTTGCATTAATGTGACCATGAAGGAATTAGATTAGTTTATGTGCAATTATCGAGTTATACAAACTTTCTAATCTAACATGCTGACTTGGATTGTATCTCACTTCACTAAGTTTTGCCAAACTCCCAAGGATGAAATCTTAGCCCCTTGTGAGGATAAAGTAAAAACTGAAATTCCTGCAACCTAAATTAATAATCATCAACTGTATGTGGATTTCTTGTTCCTGCATGCAGGTGCATTGAGCAAAACATGAATCGATCTATAATCAAAGAAACAGAAATGCTGCCAAGTCTACTGCAGTGGTCTCATAGCCAGCGCCTGCTCTGGTTCAATCTGGCATCTGAGAAAGCAGTGGATAAAATTATAAGCTACACTTTGCAAGCCAAGAAACAAATTGAGACACCCAAATGCATTGTAACTATTTTTTTTAACATTTAATAAAAGTAATATCATGCATATCTCTCCATCTGTGAGGACTCACATCATGTTGAAAGCAATGTGTTACAAAGATCCCAAAATGGGGGGGTGGGAGAGACACACACAAAAAAGTTATGCAGTAATCTTACAACACAGTGAGACTCACCCCTGTGATGTAAGCAACTTTCTATAAGCCATAGCTTCATGGTTCTTTTTAATTTCAGATGTAAATACTTTCAAAGATGAAAATGAAGGGACAG